CCTTCTATACTAATCTATTTTAGAGGTGTTTTCATGTAAGTATTAAATTTTCCTCATTCATTTTTTATAACTGCATAATTTTATAGATACTGTGGATAGATATTTGAGAGGCTTTTTGTGTTAATCTTTTGCTATAAGAAACAGTGCTGCAATAAGTAAGTCTCTACAGAAACAGGCAAAGGTGTCTTTAGGTTATATTCTCAGAAGTGGAATTGCTGAGCGTATTAGTTTGTTTTTATGCTGCTATAAAGAACTGCCAGAGACTAGGTAATTTATAAAGAAAAGAGATGTCATTGACTCACAGTTCTGCATGGCTGTGGGGCCTCAGGAAAGTTACAATCATGGTAGGGGAAGCAAACACTTTCTTTTTCTCATAGTTACAATAATGGTAGAAGGAGAAGCAAACACTTTCTTTTTCTTTTAGTCGACAGAAAAGAGAAGTGCCGAGTAAAAGGGGGAAAAGTCCCTTATAAAACCATTAGACCTCATAAGAAATCACTATCACAAGAACAGCAATGTGGGGGCAACCGCCCCCATGATTCAATTACTGCCCACTGGGTCCCTTCCACGACACATGGGGATTATGGGAACTGAAATTCAAGATGAGATTTGGGTGGGGACACAGCCAAACCATATCACTGAGTAAAGGGAAAAATGCATTTACTCAGATATTGCCAAATTATTGTCTATAGGGGCTGTGCCAATTGGCACGCCCATAGAAGTACATGAGAGTGCTTTTCCCCATAGTCTTGCCAAGAGATACTCTTTTAATCCATCAAATTGGAAAAAGTCTAGAAGTTTGACGTACCAGTAGAGTTTTAACTTTAATTTCATTTTCCATAAAATTGGGAAATGTCTAGAAGTTGGACATACTAGTAGAGCTTTAATTTCTTTTTTTTAATAGTAGAGGTTGAGCTTTCTTTTCTAGAGTACTGTAAGCAATTTCTTTTTCTGAGAACTCTATATCTTCTATCTGTTTTTTTTTCTATTGAACTTTTCTCTTATGAGACATAGTATATGTTTTAAGGCAATTTACCATTTCTACTACTGTGAGTTTCAGATTTTTTTTTAGTTTATAATTTTGTTTTGATTTTTCTTCTTTTCTAATGCAGACTTTTAAGAAATTTTATGTAGTCAAACTTATCTACCATTTCTTTTGGCTTATAGATTTTGAATCATAGGAAGTCTACCTTTTACTTTCAAGGTTATAAACAAATTTTCTCATTTTTTTCTTTAATATATGATTATTTGATTCTGTATAATTTAATCACTCTATTTAGCAATTATCCTCATGAATAGTGGCATATAGTTCTAACATCTTTTTTTCCAGTTGGCTATCTAGTTGTCTCAGCACTATTTTATTAAATAATATCACTTTCCTCACTAATTTTAAATGCCACTTCATCATATACTAAGTTTCTGGAGGCATCTGGGTCCTTTCTTGAAGTTATTTTTGGTTCCACTGGTGTGCCTATTTATGCTCTGGTATCATATCATTTTACTTATTGAGGCTTTTAATAGATTTCAATATCTGGCAAAGCTATTTGTATCATTAATAATTTGTTATTCTAGAGTTTTCATGGCTATGCCTAGGTTTTTATTTTTTTACATGAGCAGTAAAAATGTATTTACATTAGAAAATCATTATTGTGTTTATAAGAATTATACTACATTTATATGTTAACGTAAGGAGAATGAAAATTTTTATGATGTTGAATCATTTTGTCCTTAATTTATCAAATTTTAACTCTTCTCTTGTGGCTTTGGAAACCTTTTAAGGTTTTCTTTATATGCATTTTGCATGAGTTGTTAACTTTATTTCTAAAAATTTTACTTTGATTCTATTACAATTATAGAATTAAGGTAAAATTATAATTATTTACTTAATTTTAAGGTATTGTATATAGTTTTGTAGCTTCAAAACTTATGCAGTCTTTTATTATTCAAATACATTTTAATCTGATTCTTTTGAATTTTCTGGATACATAATTATACCAACTGCACTAGGAATAGGTCAGTTTTCCCCTGTCCAAATTTTATATCTTTGACTTATTTCTGCTTTCTAATTGCTTTGGCTTTTTATCTCCAGTAAAATGTTAAATAATACTGGAATACTGGAAGTAGTTGGATTCCTTATCTTGTCCTGAATTTACTGTTTTCTCATTAATTTTGATACTGTGATGGACAGAGAAAGCGTGTCATATTCAGCAATTCCATTATTCGGTATGTAACCAAAAGAAAACAAATCATTCTACCAAAAAGACACATGAACTCACATGTTCATCACAGTATTATTCAAAATAGCAAAGACATGTAATCCACCTAGGCGCCCATCAGTGATGGATTAGATAAATAAAATGTGGCACATACAGCTCATTGAATACTATGCAGCCATAAAAAGGAAGGACATTATGTCCTTTGCAGCAACATGGATGTAGCTGGAGGCCATTATTTTAAGTGAATTTGTGCAGGAACAGAAAACCATATACCACAAGTTTTCATTTATAAGTGGGAGCTAAACATTGAGTACTCATGAACATGAAGACGGCAGTAATAGACACTGAGTAGGGGGAGAGCTGAAAAACTAACTGTTGGGTATATGCTCACTACCTTGGTGATGGGATCATTTATACCCCAAACCTCACCATCATGCAATATGCCCAGGTAACAAACCTGCACAAGCAATCCCCTGAATCTAAAATAAAAGTTGGATAAAAAAAGAAATAATCTATCATAGTAACTAATTATCTCTTCCTATTTTATTGAGCATCTTTTTTAAAAAATCACTATGGATTGTTGAATGCTGTCAGATGACTTTTAGTTTGCTTGTGAATGATCTTATGAATTGTACCTTTAAATTCAGTAATATGATATGTGAATTAATTTTCTAATATTGGGCCATTATTGCATACTTGAATTCATCTCCACTTGATTTGTAATGTATTAACTCTTTAAGTTGCTCCTAGATTTTTGTTTCTGCTAATGCTTTATATAGAACTTTCATTTTACCAATTTATTTTTTCTGTAATCTTTGTCAAACATTGATAAATGATTTTAGATCGTTTCCCTTTTTCCCAATGCTTTTCTAATTAAAAACACTAGAATTCTTCAGATTTAGTTAAATTTCCCTAGGTCTGGAGCCTTTTGGGGTTAATTTTCTCTGAAAACTTTCCCTACTTTTTCTTATCTTCTGTGTGTTTGCCCTTTCATATTGTCTGCTTCATCTGGAGTAAGCTTTAAATGATATTTTCCTAGGAAATTATTTATTAATCCAGGATTTTATTTTATGTGTATGAAACTGTGCAAAGCCTTTCTCATAATTATTTAAATTTCTTATGTTTCACGTTTACTTGCTATCTCATGTATTTGTACTTTTTTTCCTCTTTTTTTCTTAAGGTAGCCAATGATTGTATATTTTATTGGGTTTCTGAAAGAACCAGTGTTTGGGTATTTTTTTAGTTTTATTGTTTTTCTATTTTCTAACTTCTTAGTTTCTGCTTTCATGTTTTAAAGTCTTTCCTTTTACTTTTTTCAGTATTTTAGTCATGATAATTCATTCTTTTTCTGAATTTCTTCTATTAAGTATTGAAGACTCTGAATTTTTCTCTTGATGTTAATTTTCTTGCTTTCCATAAATTTGGTTGTTTTCTAGAAGTTCTGTGATTTTAGCTAGTATTTTCTCTGTGGCCAATGATTGCTGAGTTATAATTTTTACAGCTCTAGGTTGAAGACAATTTTTGCAAAATAGTCAAACAAGCACCTCATACAACAGGAAATACAAATGGCTGATATACATATGAAAAGAGTCCTAATGGTATTGCAAATTAACACCATGGAATACCATCATATACCTACCGGAATGACTAATATCAAAATAAAATGACTGAAACAGCCAAGGTGAAGGAGCAATGGGAACTCTCACCTATGACTGGTGGAGGTGTAAACTAGTGCAAACATTTCAGAAATGAGTTTGGTATAATATCTACCAAAGTGGAACATAGATACGTCTTATGACCTGACAACACTATTCCTAGTATTTTACCCACCAGAAATTTGTAAAAATGTTCACCAATCATGTATGTGAATATCATAGATAATACTAATATTAAACATAGTAGCACAAAATAAGAGACTCAATCAAAATGTCCACCACAGTGGAATGAAGAAGTAAACTGATCGAGTCACATAATTAAATAGTATATGGCACCGAAAATGAATGAACTACAGCTACATATCACAGCATGAGTAAATCTCACAAACGGCATTGTCCAAAAGAAGCTTTATGATTCTGACTATATAGGTTCAATAACAATCAATATTAAACTTTTCTGTTTAGGGATTATTTCTAAAATGGTAAAAGCAAGGAAGAGATAACCAAGTAATGAAAAATATTGGTTATATTTAAAAAGACACAAGAGGGTTGTAATTAGGAATGGATTGCAGAAGGCTCCTAAGATACTGACAATGTTCTATTTATTGATCAGGGTGATGGGTCTATAGATGTTTTTCTTAAAAAATAATTTGTTAAATGGTTTTATGCATTTGTATGTGTGAAACGAGCAGTTAACTCACAGGAATTTATAGCTACAATAGAAACGTATGGCTTAACTTCTGCTCTGCTTTTCTTTGTGCTGTTTGCTTTGTGTTTCTTTCCTTTTAGTTTGTACGACAATATGTATGGAAAATAATATTTTATTCTCTTGTATTGCCTTTAACTTTGCCAAATATATGTTAAACCAAACCTATATTTTTGTAATTTTCAATAGACCATAACTTTTCATTGTTCCTCCTCTATAAAGTAATAGGAAATTGGGCAAGAATTTACCTTGTTCTGTCTTCTCAGCCCTTCTTCACTTCCCAGTACTCATTTAATTTGAAGCTGTGAGCCAGCTTATCCTTTGCATTTTTTAAAACCGTCAAATCTTTATTTCAGAACTGGTCATGGTTACTTGCATTTAGTGTAATAAACAGACGGTAGCTGACCCAGCCTGCTGCCATCCTTCTGACTGCAAGTGATGGATCACCAAGTGATAGGGGGAAACAGATGAAACACCCACCCCTGAATCCCCAGCCAATGACTGGTGAGCCAGTGACTTGATGTATAAACGTTCTGGCTCTCCTGTCCTTGGGGTGCGGTAGCTCTCCGAGTGTATTTTGCAGGGTGTGTCAAAATTTCCCCACGGCGTTAAACTCCAGTCACCCTCCTGGTAGCTGACTTGACAATTTACCCTTTCTCGGTTGCTTTCCTTTTCTTTCACATTCTTCTACCTGTTTCCCAACAACTCAAATCAATATATTTGCTCTAGAATCCTTGTTTCTGGGTCTACTTCTGGGAGAACTCAAAACTAAATACAGCTTCAGGAAAAAAAAAAAAGATGTACTGAACTCTATATTTTTTATTTCTTTCAATATTCGCTGGTAGACTTTATATAATTTTAGCATAATTATCACCTTGATTTGGATTAATTTCTTAGCCAGATAGTGTACATTTCAAATAGAGTCCCCTGCTCCCCTAGAAAGAATATATGAGCAGCAAGCTTTTTTTTTTCTTTTTTTTTTTGTTACTTGAGGATGTTATGTGAATGCATTTATTTAGCTTTGACAGACAATGATTTTGAGTCCCCTGCATTTTCCCAGGAATGTCGAGAAACTATATTCTGCAATAATCTTCCATCTTTAGGGTTGACAGTCATCTAATGTAAGGGTGATTTTTGTTCTTTTGTAGGCAACTAATTTATTTTTGTAGTTGAATTGGTATACGATTTTTCCCCCTGTACATTTAAAAGGTTCCTGGTGTGCACCTAAACATGATTCTATTTCCATTCATTTTTTTTTTAAGGAAACCGTGTATGGCCTTTCCTTTTTAACCTCAAAAAAGTTTTTCTTTTTTTTACATGGACAGTAAATTTCATGGTAATTTCCACTCTGCCTCTGTCTTTTCCCCCCTTGACTCTTCAATTCTTGAGCTGGTTTCATGTGGGGTGATCATGCAGTTGGAAGACACCTTTCCTTCATAGGGACCCGGAGCGGGCTCCACTGCCAGTCTGAAAATTCTTAATTTAATCTTTAAATTTTCATTTTGGAAGTGAAGTCTAATGGGACCATGGAGCATGTGCCAGGATCTTGAAGCCCCAGCTCATGGATAGTCCACCTCTTATGGCCTCCCCACGCTCATGGCTGGGGTCTCGGCTGCCCACTCTCATGGCCACACTCAGCTACTGCAGCCAACCCTGCACCACCCTCTGGCCCCTGGGCACCTGCACCTGGGTGGGAGGGTTGGACGCATGCGCTTTGCGTGCAGTCTCACCTAAGGAGGTCCCAGAGCCTGTGAGGTTCTGCAATGTCCTTGGGAGTATCCCCAGTCTCAGAGAGCAGTGTTAACAGCAAAGAAAAAAACACATGGAGGTGGAGAGAGAGGGACAGCAGAAGGAAGGAAAATACATTTTGTCCTGCTTGTTGAACAGTGAGACTCCATTTTCATTTTGCACTGGATCCCACAAATGGTGCTGCTGCCTCTGGTTAGCCATCTCATAATCAAAGATGGTGCCTCTTCCATCACATTTTGTTTAGAATCCCAATCCATTCTCTTCTTTTTAATATTAACAGCAAGCTTTCATTTTTTAATTTTTTAATAATTTCAACTTCTGTTTTAGATTCAAGAGGTACATGTGCAGGTTTGTTACAGGGAATATTGCATGACACTGAGATTTGAGGTATGGATGATCCCCTTACTTAAGCAGTGAGCAGAGTACCTAATAGGTAATTTTTCAGCTCTTGTCCCTCTCCCTCTCCCTCTCTCCCCACCCCAGTAGTCCCCAGTGTCTATTGTTGCCACCTTTATGTCTACATGTACCCAACTAGAACCTCAATCGTGAATTGATTCCTACAGAAAATATACCCTAGATCATACCTACTGACTATGCACTACCCTGCCCTGCCTCACTATGTACCCTATTGTCTTACACACTTGACTAGTTTGCTTCTTTCTAATACTGGTTTCTGTTGCCTGTGAGATTGTATGAATTGAATTCACTACTTTTCTTCTTTTTCTATTCTTCTCTCCATCGTCTCTGGCTTGTCTAAATGCAGAAGGCACTTTCATTAATTGATTCTCATTAATAAAATAATCAAGGCAGAAGGGAATAAATAACAGAATGAGGGAAAGAACAAATGATAGAAACAGGCAGGGTTCTTTTTGTTACCAGGATTGTCTTTGACGTGCTATTTATTTTTCTCTGTTAATGGTAGCTTTTCCCAGTAGGGCCAAAGGACATTTATTTAATATACCTTCAAAAAAGTGTATTGGATAGAAAATTACCTTTCTAAACGGTGGACTCTATCTACAGAAAATAGATTCATCTACTGAGATTTTGATTAAAGCTGTTTCTTTCCCAGCATCCTATTCTGGTAGGACAGCGTTCTTAGACTTTCTGTTAATCACTTCAAGCCAGTAGCTTCCCAGTCACTTTTGTCACTTTGAATTAGTGGTCATGGTAGTCCATAACAATGTAAAGTGTTTTGTTTTCCCAAATCAATAGTATTTATCTTTGCCTTGACAAAATATTCCATTTCTATAGTGCCTCTAGAGTTTTTTAAAGTTCCACTTTAAAGATATCCATCCATATTTTACAGATACGTTGCCTTACTGTACATTGCCATTTGGGAAATGGCTGGTTAATTAATCCAATGTGTACAGGGGCATACAAATTCAAAGACTGGTAGGGTAACACTTCTAGATTTGCTTTCAACCTTCTTCCTAAATAATGTGAATTTCTCTGTGGCTAAATGATCTAAATCTTATTTTCCTATTATAAATTTAAAAGCAAGTTGGTTCATTTGGCAGAGTAGATGTTCTCATGACCCAACTATCAATTAATATCATTTTTATCAGCAGCCTCAAATAGATCAGCTGTTTGAAATTAAGCTACTCTCACTCCTCACATAATTACTAAAGCAACATAACAGGTTATTATCAGAGATGCTCTCATACTAAGTGGATTTTAATGCATTTGTATTTTGTCTGTGGAAGAGAACAGAGATGACCAGGGAAGTGATCTGAGTACCTACATTTATCCTAATTGAATTTTATAGGATTACTGTTTCTTATTTCTATCTTTTTTCCATGGGAATTTTCCATTGCCATAGCATGACAAGGTATGTAGCATAATGACTATTGCAGGAGAAGATCTGTTTGTAGTGAGAAGAATCCTGGTAGGTGACTTAAAATGCACTTAGATTTATTGAGCATTCCTCTAGTGTTTCAAAATCTTTAAAAAGATCATGTGGTTAGAACCTATTTAAAAACCAACCATCTAGTAATATCATCAGCAATTCTTATGTTTTGTTCCACTGTTTAAAAAGTCACTGTTTTCAATGTCTCTTTTAAACTGGGTGGTTAGAGGTGTATGCCTTATTTATTCTTGTATCCCCATTGACTAGCAGAGCTTGGCATATAACATATTTGTATAACATAACATGGTTTCCAAAGCACTCTCAGATAAGCTGGGTTTGCCTCTCATAGCCATATCAATAAATTAGAGCAATGTTAGGCTACATTATTTCACAGATTAGGAAACTGAACATCAAAGAGGCCAAGTTTATTTGTACAAGGCCCATAGATAAGTAAAGGAGAGAACTGAGACTTGATCAATTGAGATCTTCCAATCTGTAGCCTGGAGCTTTTCAACTGCCTCCCAGTAGAAAAAAATTGTGACTATATGCTCCATGGAATAGGGGAGGCTCAAGTTCTTGGATGAGATAATGATTCTCTTTAGACTGGTGAATAACAGATCATGAGAAGTCATCTCATATGGTATGATGATGATTTAAGAGCCATTTTTAATTTCTTTTTTTCCTTTACCCTCTGTCTTAGTCCATTGTGTGCTTCTATAACAGAATAGCATAGACTGGGTAATTTATAATGAACAAACATTTATATCTAATCGTTTTGTAGGCTGGGAAGTCCAAGATCAAGGGATTAACATCTGGTAAGGACTGTCTTGCTACATAATCCCGTGGACAAGGAGAGAAGGAAAGGCAGAGAAATGAGGAAGAGAGAGCAAGAGGGGGCCAAGCTCATTCTAAGCAACCCAGTCTTGTAATAACAAACCCACTAGTACTATAATGGCATAAATCCACTCATGAGGGTGGTTTCCTGATGACCAAAGCACTTCCCACTGTGCCACACCTCCCAACACTGCTGTTGCATGGGGGATCAAATTTCCAAAACACATAAACTTTGGGGGACCTATTTAAACCATAGAACCCTCCAACACAAATTAATTATAATTTCTGAATATCTTTCACAGTGATATTCTTCTTATCCTGATCATAGGCCTATCCTAATTCAGGCCCTCTAGGAAGAGGATGATGTTTCACTAGGATGATGTCATGGTCCCCCTACTGACCATTCTGCCTTTAGTGTCTTACCCATTCCTACCCTTCATTCAGTGCATTTGGATAAATATTAAGTATCTTCTACTTGCCAAACACAACATCAGGTAACAGGGAATCACAGGTAGATGAGAAAACCACCTCTAGTCCTTTATAAGAATTTCACTGCCTAGCAAAGGATACAAACAAAATTAACAGTTAATATAACCCCTGCCTACAACAGGGGTTATAACTCAGTGTGATAAGTGCAATAAATCATCTTCCACCCTAAAGAAGCCTGCCATGAGGTGGGCTCCTAAGGTTTTGGTTGCTCTTACTCCACTGTTCAGAAAGACTTCATTTTCCTGTCCCCAACCTCGACCCTCTTGTGCTGGATTTCCACTCACCCACCCTTTTCAAGTTTAGACAGCATTTCAGCTGCAGTCCAAAAGTAGCAAAACAATGCCTAACATTAAGTAGAAAGTCAGTCTGTGGGCTGGTTTTGTTGGTTATGTTGAAATCACAAACTCCAGAGGGTTTTTCAATGTCTTCTGCTTTCACAGAAAATATAATAGTCTCACTAAGGCCTTGAATTGATTTTTTTTTTGAGACGGAGTTTCGCTCTTGTTACCCAGGCTGGAGTGCAATGGCGCAATCTCGGCTCACCGCAACCTCCGTTCCCTGGGTTCAGGCAATTCTTCTGCCTCAG